GAGGAAGGGGGCGGGGGGTGGGGGGGGGCAGAAATCTTAACTTCGGGAAATTAAATTTTTTTACAATTAGATACAGGGCTAATTTTTTGAAAAGTAATTTAGACAGATGGTAATTAGATTTCCAGGAAAAAAGATTGTTAAATGCGTTATATAATTTTAATGTTGAACCAACCAAGGCCTTTTCTAATGCAACCACACCTCTACCAAGGGCCATTGATTTCAATTGCTCATTATACCCATGAAAATAGTTTGTCTCCTTTTTTTCCAAGAGAAGAGGAAAATATTTCCAAATGACATGAATTTTAATACATTGTATGCAAGCTGTATCTGTCTATATCCTGGATTTTTACAAATAGAGTGTTGACTTCTCTTAAAACGAACAGTTGTCAGTGAGATGTACAGGAATATAGAGAATTGCATAAATAAAGATAGTTTTGATTCCATCTTTCATATATTTTTTAACAGGAAATAACTCTTTCTATTTTCCTTTTTAAACGAGTGTGTTCGAATGTGAATGTGACCCCCTCCCCTCTTACACACACACTCACACGCTTTTGGGGAAAATAGTCTTACTTTACATCATAACGCACTTTTTAAACTCATGGTTTTTCGCACAAATTAAGGTCACATTGTTATAATGCAAAATTGAATAACATAACAACAACATATATCTTAAAAGTGATTTACAACTTCATATTATTCCATTACTTTAAACATAATTCACACATAATAATTGGTAGGATTTTTATATGTTCTTGGGTGATGGATTATGACAGTTCCCAAATGATTTTTTCATGGTTTCGTCAAATGCAGCTGTCTTAGTATCCGTTCGTTTTAAAACATACCTTTGCCTTGCCTAGATGCAGAAACAGTGCAGTTCATACAACTCCTGTATTTTCTGATCATTAATATGACACAAAGGCGCAAGATGATGATGTATTTTTCATCTGTACGACTGCTTTTCATAATAAAAAGATGGTACTTTATTTTGAATAATTTTCTGAAATCTGGCATCATGAAAGATACCTTCCAACGAAAAATGTCAAGTTTCAGACCATAGTGACAATTAACTATGTTGAAAGATAAACAATACTTTATATCCACTTCTTTCACAAGATTTTTATTCAGTTTTATCATTTTTCAACGCTGCATTTCGACGAAACCAAGACAAGTATGAAAAATGTGCAAAATACTCTCATCTGTAAAAAGTCAATTTGAACATTTCACCTAAATAGTATCAAGGAAAGCTCGATTAATTAATTTGTGAATACCTATAGCACTATCATACACATGGAACACCATACATGTGTACAAACAAATTCCCTTTAAGACATCGAGTTTTAAAACTTAAGATAATGATTTTAGAAAATATGCACCTTCATCATGAAATATTTAATAATATAAGGGTTATGTCTCGTACTAAATCTCGAAAATTTTAAGTTTCATTGCAAGAAAAATGTCACCTTAATTTGTGCAAAAAACCTTGTGAGTTTAAAAAGTGCGTTGAGCAGTAGTTTAAATATTATAATTCATCTTTTGGTTGTTTGTTTCCTTAACAATTTGTAATTGTGGAAAAATTATTGCACTTCAATAATGTTTTACCGAGAAGTCCACCCTCGAATTTGGGCAGTTGAGTGGGGTGGGATGTGGGTGAGGAGCTATCAAAAGCACATGCCAGTCTAAAGCAAAAAAATGGTTATTCAAAGAGCGTAATAACGTTTTTTTAAAAGGTGTAATAACTCCATTTAAAAGGCGTAATAATGCCCTTAAAAAAGGCTTAAAATGCCTATTGTAATAGAAAGGCGTAATAACGCCTTTAACATAATACCGCATTTTTGAATGGAAAGGCGCAAAAACATCTTCTTGAATGGAAAGGCGAAATAATGCCTTTTTTCGCGTTATTACGCTTTTCAAAGAGCATTATAACGCCTTTAATTTTTTTCTATATTGATTGATCCTTATAGGGTTTCGTACTGAACACGGTAGAATATTTCGTTTTCATGTTCCCCCCCCCCTTCCTCCAGTCTCTTTATGCTAGATGGTAATATGCATCTGATAAATTTTATTTATTCTGACAATGTGTCAAACTCTTCTTTTTTTGTTTTTCACCATCGGCTGGCGAAAAGTACTTGATCTCATAGTTTATTTGAACTATACAAATCGGGATCAAAGCAAGCATGTACCTTTTAAAATATCAGATGTGGGATCAGATGCAATGGAGGAGTAAGCATTACTTGATTCTTAATATTGAATTTGTCAGATCACCAACTTTACCAGCTTACCAGTTATTTCATTCATTATTTCTAAACATAAACTTTCTTGATTTTCAGTTTGCCAGATGTTCATACTATTGAACAAACCGTCACGGTAGCTCAGCCGGCATAGCACTCGCTCCGTGATTGGAAGGTCGTTTAATTTGTTCAACTCACGGCCAAGACTCACCTAAGACGATAAAAAATGGTTGGTAACTTTTTCTTTCCCAAGCACTCGGCATTTTACTTGTAAGTTGTCACCTTGCCAAGATGAAAAATCCTTACTGCTCGATGGCTCAATTTGAAGCCTTTCATTGGTATATGGTAACGTCAAGTTAGATAGTGAAACTTTCACGAACGGGACGGAAAACAACATTGACGCTACAATCGACTGATATTAACAGAGAAGACAATTCAAATGGAAGTAAACTGAAACATGCTCAGTTTCATGAAAATAGATGACGACATTTTTTACGTTGAGACAGAAGTATAATTTTATTGTTCCGAACGACGTATTGATGGAATTTACAGAAAAATAGCATATATCTGAGAAAATTTAAATTCCATATGCTTTGGAATTTTGTTCTGGGATTTTAGAGATGTATTTTATTGTCTAAACACGCTGATACCGACGCACATAATACAATTACTTGCAGTGAAATCATATCCAAAAGGAAGCAGAACAAAGACTAAAATTAATGTCAATCAGAGAAAAAAAAAGTCAAAAGGCAATTGACATTATAAGGTTTAGATTCACCTGAAAAGAAATATGTGCGGAATATTGCATATTTCGGTATGTCCGTCCGTCCGTCTGTTACGCTTTTGGTACCCATCTCTTATCCGCAACTCCTCTCATACCACTGAAGGAAATTAATGAAACTTTTAACAGAATCTTTATTACATATTGCCATTGTGCACCTCCTATTTTACTCTTTGATCTGACATATATTTTGGAATTTCCAGAGCAAAAAATGGATACTGCAATTATATTCATTTTGGAGGCGGGGTTATTATTTAGTGAGCTCATTGCTCACAGTACTGTAAATCACGTTTTATTCGCGAGAACTTAATTTTCGCGTAATTACGAGAGTCAATGACCTCGCAAAAATTTCATTCTCGCGTTTAAAAGTATTTCTTACGATTATATAGAGGAAAAACAACAATTCGTAAAAATTATGTTTTGCTTATAAAGAGTCAAAGAGTATTTTGCGAAAATAAGGTGTCGCCAAAATTTAGAGATCTACAGTACTCTGTAGACAATCTTTTATTCTATGACGCCACAAACTATTGGGATTTGTATATATTTTTCAGAAAGAGGAAAAAATATACAAAATTTGCTCAATTTTTACTATGAAATTTTAAAAGCTTAGGTCTGCTCAGGAACAATATTAACACACTTTATTGATATTTTCATTCCACACATCATATCATAATATTCAGCCTGAGCAGACCTGCGGGTGGTGACTTTTGCTAAAAAATAGACATAAAATACACAGGCACCTGACGTTACTTATTTTTCTTTTAATAAAAAAAAATATACACATACCTAATAATAAACCAGAGGTACTGTGAGCAATGAGCTCACTAAATGTTCCCCCCCCCGCCTCCCATAATGTCAATGTGTTGCTATATATTGTTTTACGGTAATGTGTAAAGAGGAATAACTCGTCCTATCAAATTTTATCCAGAAGCTTCTATGTGACGTCATAGGTAAACATATAATGGCAATGTAAATGTTTTGCTATGGGAAACCTAAAATACGTGTCGAATAAAAAAGTAAAATAAGAGGTGCACAATGGCAATATGTAATAAAGATTCTGTGAAAGTTTCATTAAATTTCACTCAGTAGTATAAGAGGAGTTGCGGATAAGAGATAAAGCGTGACAGACGGACGGAAATCCCGATCACTATATAACCTCCCACTTTTCAAGCAGGGGGTATAACAAGGTACCCATCGAAACCCGCCATCTTGGATTTTCGAAGTAGGTCATCACTTGTATTTTCGTCTGAAACTCCGTCATATAAATTCCCTGCAAACATATTCTTTCTGTGGCCTGTCTTTCGAGGTCTAAACTTAAGGACACTGCATCCAGAAGGGCGCATCACACTTGCAAATATTAAAAATCCCTCCTCAAACTCGACCTACTGCTTCAACATTCCGAGAAATCGCCAAAGGGGGCCGGAAGTTTACATACGACTTGAAATTCTTAGGGAAAGCCCTTTTTTGATTGGTCAATATATTTGTGCGATTTATTTTTAAAAATAACCGGCGAAAGTTAGTACTTATTCCAAAATCAATATTTCAGACAATAATACAACGTAATATACATGTAAGAACATTCATTTTATTTCTCTCAAAATAATTTCGATATAGCTTGATCAAAGCGATTATAATACTCTTTTACATTCACCCATCCATTTTACAATCACAATTAAAAATCATTATTCCCTCCTAGCGGAATTGTTTGTAAGAATAACAATCAGGAAAGTATTATAATTGGTGAAAAGAATGATCTACGATCTCGTATATAAACTGAGAATGCAGCTAGCGTGGTAATATGAATACTTCTATTTACATTTCTTTGGGAGATGTTATTTTCTATGAAGAATTTTACGCCACTTTTGGTTTCTTCTACTTATTACAAACACACCGATATTCTACACATTTGTTGCAATGTGATGTGTGGATGACTTATTGTCATGGCATCAAAACAAGTTTAAATATAATGAACACACCGATTGAGATGAATGACTATCAGGTATTTCAAATCCATTCTTTGAATATTTCTGATGCCAGTTTTCTGATACTTTCCTTTTGTGAGTTACGCATATCTTGGTGAATATCTTCCATGGCATATCCATATTCAACCTTCTTTTTGTCCTCTATTAACAAATCTGGGAATTTGTTTTCGTAAAAGCAAGCAGGAGCACCACCCCTCACAATTAAAACGACACTTGGTCGTTGTTGTCTTAATATGACGCCAGGTGAACCTGATGACCCTCTGTCAAACGTTGTATGGAATAAGATTTTCCTTGGTGGATCGCGAAGTTCTCCGTAATAGTCGACACCATCAGGAAAATATCCCACACTCCACTGACTTAGGTATTCAATGTACTTGTCAACATCGTTATTTGGTTTAATAATTCCGGGGTAAACTTCGCTGTCTTCCTTCATCTGAACACCTCCAGGGTGACCAATAAGATGTACCTCTGAAGGAAACTGCTGAATTGTACTAAATGAAGACAAGGCTGGAGGAAATCCGATGTCGGAAAGGTGATGCCTCTTTAGTTCCAGAATAGCAACATCAAATCCATCATGTATGTAATGAACAGATCGTTCAAAATTGAAGGTATTTCGTTCTTCCAGATTTTGATGGGAAATCTTCCTCTCAAATTGAATAAAGATTCTAGTGTGATCCAGGAAATTTTGTTGTTCTGTATTGATAAAAACTTTCCAAAATTATTTGATATTTTTATACTAGATACTAATGCACTCAAAATGTTCAAAAGTTGATGTTTTCTTGTAAATCAGGACAAAGCATCGTAAAAATTGGTAGAATTAGAAACAAAATATGTAAATCGGCAGTTGTAATGTTATTTTTTTTTTAGAAAAACGTCAGTCAACATTTATTTAAATGATAAATTGCATTTGCTGACAAGGTCATTGTATTGACCATAGAACTTTCAACAGTTCCATTCTATTTTCAAGGCGTAACTCGATATCTATCCTACAGATGCAAAATATAGAGATTTAAAGATAAACTGTGTACCTGCAATAGTACTTTGTATTACATGTAAACAAGTCATTATGTATTTGTCTCCAACGCGGAATCCTGTCCCTGCTGGATTCCCGTCGATGTAAATCATCCCAACACTTCTGCTTACTTCTGCTTTAATTTGACTTCTTATTACATCTTTTTGAATCGTTGCCTTGGAAAAGGGATACATTGGTCCTGTCTTCGGTAAATTTGTCTTCGGCTATATAAAATATATTATTGTATTATATAAAATTTATTATTGTATAATTGAAAATTAAAATAAATGTAACCAGATAGTCTGCCATATTTCTTTCATATTTGGATGTTATCTGTATATACTGTATACAGGGTTATTTTCGCCCCGTCTTATTTTCGCCCTTTCACACTTGCAAAGAATTTAACCCCGTTTTAAATTCGCCCAGCCACAGTTTTGTTTAAGAAAATATACTGTATTCTTTGAATTCGCCCCGTTTTAAATTCGCCCAAATGTTAGTAGGGCGAAAGGGGCGAAAATAAAACGGGGGCGAAAATTTCCCTGTTTACAGTATTTCCATTTCTAATTTTTTTTCTCTGTGATAACCTTTTGAAAGTTACCGGAGTTGATTTCTTGACAATTCTACCGGAATGTAAATTAGGCAGGTCGATAGGTCAGGAACTAAGAAGGCCTTAAACGCATGCAAATCTCGTGCGCATCTGTCTCTGTGCTTGACGCTAAAGAGGCCAAATATGCATGTAAATCTCGTGCGGCTTCCTTTGTGTCTGACGTCAGTGTACGAGGACTATTGAAATCCGCATGGGAGTCCTTGTGTAATTTAAATCTATCTCTACATTTTTAAGTCTAAATCTATAATTTTATTTCACAATGAAATGGAAATATAAGGAATCACTGTCTAGTTAGGAGAGTATGCCAGGGACATCAACAATAGTGGGAAACAAGGGATAATTATCCCATGTTTTCCATTACTGTTGATGCCCTGGCATACTCTTCTAACTAGACAGTGATTTCTTAAATAAACGGTAAGGCTTACGTTAAAGTAAAGATAACAAATAGAGATCGTTCTAAAAAATTAGGGTTTGGCTTAGGCTCAGGAGTAAGTATCCTTTATTAATTGGTCACACCCGCCATATGTATTGATGAGATAGACGAGCTATCCGAATTCAATTCAGTACCAGATCAGTGCTCTTGTTTGAATGCTTTATTTGACGTGAAATATATGGAGATAAGAAACAGCATTTTAAGCAAACTTAGGAGCAGAGCAAAGAAGGACCTCCAAAACATTAGAAGTGAAATAAGGTGTCATTGAAGAGTGAGCAACCCTATTGACAGGTATCACGCGCTGTGTGTTCCTTGCCAGGGTCGGGAAAAACAGGAAAATCTTACTTTAATTTAGTATATATAATGGCCTAATATTTACTATGAAAATTGTCGTTCAACGTTTGAGGTAAAGATAAATCATGTTTGCTGACAAAATCATTGTATCGACTATAGAACTTGAATAATGAAGACTTTAAATGAGACTGATATTCTTTTTTTTAGCTTGTTAGATAAAGTTAAAGTATTCCCTCGGTTCACTCTATGGAAACCATTGTATGCAATGCAGAATTCCTCTGAAAATATGTAAAAACGGATGGTCTGAATTTTATAAAATTTTGTCTTATATCATAAATCATTTAAATAAATTGAATTATATAAAGTTAAGAAGTGAATTCAAGTTTATTATTTTTTATCACGAATTGTAAAAAGAAAATTTATACAATAACCTCGGAATGAGTTGAAACATTTGAACGATTCTGCTTCTGTGCTGAGCTCCCTGTCTGTGGATGGAACTGCGAGGGTTTTGGTTTCTCCTTGGAGAAGAGATAGAAAGAGATATATTAGTTGATTAAATATCATAGATTTTTTTTAATTTCTTATTCATGCTTTTTGGAAAACATTTTTTATAAAGATTTTTTGGTGCCATGGACTATTAAAACCATTATCTTAATTGAAGATTTAAAGGAGAAGGGTGGGACATGTTGATTGTTCAGAAAATCATTTTAATATATACTAATAGTATAACTGATAATAATTATTCCTGCTGAAATCTTCAAAACATATTTCACATTAACGTCACAAACTATTGTTATGTTAGTTCATCTTCTTTCCTAATACCTGTTTCCAGAATCGTAGAGTACACGGAACGTTTATTTCGTGTTTTTTATCGATGGGACAGCGCATGCATTGGACTGTTTCACTTTCTATTTCGAACAATTCACTCTCAGGAATGAATGACAGATCCTTTTCGTTACATATAATGTTTTTACATTTATAACCTCGTTGAACATTCTTCTTTTTAGCAAAAGTCTTCGTGAGTTCTGATAGTCCAAGTTCAATGTCATTTCCGATTTTTTGACATACTTCGCATTCTATTTGTAAAGGAGCAATACGCATAACTTGCAGCTGTATGTCATCATCACATATACCAAGAACAACAGTGTGATGTTGATGTTCAAACGCTGCCGCAGTATGATAGAGACATCGGCTGTCATCTTTATCACAGGCAACACGCCATCCTAGGAAGCTCATGCAATAAGCAACAAGCCTATAAAACACGAACATGGCAAAGGAGTTGAATCGAAAACATAAAATTGACGAATAACTCCATTTTTTTTCAAAGATCTCTTTTTTGAAAGGTTTTCTGTTCATACATGGGACATACCAAGACATTTCAGTCTTGGTGGCACTGATTTCGACAAGCATTCGAAGCCTCTCCATATAAGACATGAGCTCAACTTTGTGCTTAACATACAATGGTTCCTCTTTCCACAGAGCTTCGAGAAGTGTATCCTTTAGTTCCCCAGTCTCGTTGAAACATTCCCATTCTTTTATAAATCTTCTTTTACAGTCTGTGCTGACGTGGTTTTTATCAGCAATTATTCCGCTAAATGCATTAGAGAACCATTGTATTCCAAGAATAACATACTCGTTTAGTCCATCTTCGTCAAAATACAGAAATATTCCATGAGCATGATAGAATTGTAAGAAATCTAAAATTTCTTCATTTGTTTTCAATTGATATTCTTCGGGGATTTCATCATTGACTTTTTTTATTTCTTCAGTGGACAGCAGAGGCTGTTTTAATTTTTTCAAACAATGTTCAAGCAAAGCCCATGAAGAAGGAACTTCAATCTTTGTGTCTAATTTACGAGACACTATGTCTGCAATCGAAGATTTTATGGAATGTAAAGAATTCTCACATCCTTTATTCATTTCTTTTTGACCAATTGCAAATTCGTTTCCATTGATAGACTTGTAAAGCCATGCTTTTTCTTCTTCTGGTACGGCAAGCCAAAAACTCTCAAAGAATGTTTCTATTTCCTGAATAAAATTAAAAGAATTATCATGTTTATTACAAATATATTTTACTTATAATTCTAAATTCTACTTAATTATCCACAACTTTAAAAAATTGTGTAAAAAATGGTACATAAGATTAAACTGAAAAGACACTCTCTGAAGATATTTTACTTTGCTCTTTTTATTTTTGTTGTAAGATCAAAAAATGTCCAATGACAAAATCACCTTAAGGTCAATTATCTACATAAACGATATTATTTTTACTTTGTTGTACTAAGGTTTATCTGTTTGCAATCGACATGAAAATTGATTTCGACTTCATACCACATGTAAAAAAAGCTAACATTGATCTTTGATCAGAAACTTAATGTAAGTAAAGAATGGGACAAAAAGTACTAAGGATAGTATTGGATAATGTTTTTGTTCAATGGGCTTTCATCTATTTAAAAAAAAATAAACTAACCAGATTTGGGAAAATTGAACACACTCGTGAAACGTTAACTGTTTTTGCAAACAGAACACGAGATCTGTTCTTGTTAATGTTTACGTTTTACAGGGCATGTTCAATTTGTTACCAAATTGTTGTTTGCACATATCACTGAGCACTGACGGATAATACTGGTGAGTTGGTTTTGCTTTCTCACATTTCTACTCTGGATTTTCTTGATCAAAGTTTTATTATTTCTCATTAACACATAACAATTTTTTTAATTATTTTCTACTTTTCTTCAGTATTAAGGATAAAGTTTATCTTGTGAAAGTTCAAGAACGTGTCAATCAAATGCGTCCTTCGTATTCGTAGTTTCAATAATTTCCAAATAAAATAAGTTTTTTTATTACATTTCTGTGTGAAATGCTATGAAAAATATAAGTAATTATATTATACAGAAATGAGAAAATATCTTCAAATCTGTGTCTTTGCCCCTATAATTTAAACTTCAGAGTAATAGTACCTATGTTTACAATAAGAATTTTATATCGTAATAATTGTGTACGTCACCAATGAAAAGATCTGTTTATAAAGGGGTGCAATTGGTACCCATTGGAATTCTAATAGACTTTTGGAAGACCTGGTCTCTAAAAACAGCATAGACATTGTCAATCAGAAACTCGAGCATCTTCTCAGGTCAACTTCAGAGTACTTGAGTGCACATGTACAGTCCCAATGTTTTAAGATGTTTCCGCCCTCACAATTTTAATAGTTCAAAGTACAAAAAATGCATTTATTTTCATTTGATATTCTTTAAATTTTCTAAATATTGCAAAGGGTGTATAGGTCACCATCTTATTCAAAATGGGAGACATAAATAAACAGACGTGTATGTCAACATAAAAAATCGCACATTTTTTGTAAACAGTATTATAAAAACAAATATATTAAAACTAGTGAAAATGCATAATTCTGATGCTGAATGTTCCTAAATACGTACTACTTACTTTTGAATTGTTAATCGGGGAAACTATTTTATGTTAGAATTACAATAAAGCAAATGCCTGAATGAAGAGACCTTGGAAGGAGTTATTGCCCTTGTCAACATTTTTAAAAGATTGAATAATTGATTTAATGAAGGATATGGAGATAACAAACAGTATTCAATATCAGAGTCCATAAAACAATACAAAATAGGAGCAGAGCAAACACGGGCATCAGACATCAGAGGTGGGATCAGATGCCATGGAGGAGTGGGCATCCCCTGCCGACCGGTTTCACCCGCCGTGTGCTCCTTGTCATAATCGTGAAAGAACAAAAAAAATTCGTCTTCAATTCAGTGTATAAATAATGGAATAACAATTGGTATGAAAAACGTGAGTCAGCATTGACTTAATGATAAATTGTATTTGCTGACAAGGTCATTGTACCGACCATAGTATTTACGAAATGGTGACTTTAAACGAGACTGTTGCTATTCTTGTTTCATCAACTTGCTTGTCAATAATTTACCCCGTTATAGAAATTGCTTATACGTAGAGCATGCTCTTGCGTATCGAATCAACTGAGATATAAACACTCCGTGTGCAGGTGAAGAAGGTATATTGCTGCATAAGTAAGGGAAGTTGACTTTAGAAAAGTTAAAGTCATTACGATAATCATAAAACTTGGTTGTTAGGTTACCATTAACGTCTTTTTCAAGTAAAATATCCAAGAATGAAACAGATGTGTCAGACTCTGTGGTATCTTTTATCTCAAGCTCTCCTGGATATATCGTATCGACGTAGGAATGGAAATTACCATTGTTAATTGACAACACATCGTCGATAAATCTGAAGGTCGAGTTGAAGTCCACAGCAAGTGTTTTCTTCTCTTCACACATAAGATTTTTCATAAATTCTGCTTCATATAAAAAAATAGGTAATAACGGAGCGCAATTAGTTCCCATGGGAATTCCAATAGATCGTTGGAAGACCTGGTCTCCAAAAACCACAAAGATATTGTCAATCAGAAACTCAAGCATCTTCTTGATGTCAACTTCAGTGTACTTGTGTGTACAATCAGAATCTTTTTTAACAAAATGATTTTGCAAATGACCAAATAAAAATGAAGAAAATATGCATTTCTGAAATTCATTTACTTTGCGATATTTATCATTACCCCTATTGTAAAGCATTCTTCCAAAATATATTGTTCTATTAGGTATAACTTTAAACTAATTACAGTTTTTGCAAAAACCTATGACATCAAAGGAGGGTGGAATTATCTTAACAAAATAATTATGCAAATCACCAACGACAGGTTAAGTAAATTTACGAGTTTCATTTCTATTGCAAAGGTATTTCTCAATGATGTCAAAAAGCCTGGATTTTTTTTATTTTTGGGAATTGTTGTATATAGAGTCAAAAAGTTTTTATTTTATTAACTTCGGTAAAAATAAATAATTCTAGAAGTATCAACATCTGATTTACTTCACTTCTTGAATATATAATGTTGAATTGTACTCCTAAAATTTCTCCTTCATTGCTGTTAATATTCTAGTGAGAGGAAAGAAAGAGGCTTGCTATAACATTTACCTGCTATGTATCTTTGTTTATAAGGATTTTCATGTTATTTAGGAATCCAGTATCGGAATAATAGTTCACATTAATATTGATCGTTGAGAATATTGAAATATTCAAAACTGACAGATGATTGTCAGGAATTTTTATTCTAAGAAAGTAACCTGTTGATGCACGCCGACAAACGAATTATTCTACTTAATTTTAATAGCGTGGTCCCTTTTTAAACCCTTGGTTTACTGGTTAGATATTAGCAAAGAGTATTTTGTTTGATTCCATTGTGTATAACATTGTGTATATATAATGATTTAAAGTTTAAAGTAAAAAAATACAAGCCAAGTTTTAACACCCATAGCACTAAAAATGCCAGAACATCCCCCATCAGACAATGGATTCTCTCTTACATGCACGGAAATGGACGGAGACATTTAAATAAGATACTACGAAAAGAATATTCTTGATAGATGATATTTCCTTCCAAAGACGAATTTGTATGTTCAAGATTCACAATCAACTACAAATAGTTTTCTATTGACAAAACGTGAGCAATGAAACTATAACAAGATTAACCAAACAAGTCCATGTTGACCAATATAAAACTGAGTACGTTTCAAATGAGCGCTAGCTAGCACGTTAACTACGACACAAAGCCATGTAAGAGTACAAAAATAATAAGTCGACCTTAGATTTTTAAAAAAAAATTGGTAAAGGGGAGCGTAAGTCTCTATGGTAGTCATGTAATATAAGAAAGAATTCATCCTAAAAATTACTCCTTCAATTCAAAAGGTGGACAAGAGTAGACAAATAGTAAAAAAAAACACCATAAGCTTCAAAATATGAAGCATTACTGGTATCTAACAAAACTACTTTGCTTGCGAATTTAAATGCAGTATAATCTGTGCAGATTAACTTCCATAACAAATAAAACTTTCAATTCGTTGTGATTAAATTGTAGTATTTTATCTTTCTTGATAAACATTTTTGTAGTTGTCAGTATTAATTTGTACAGTTATATTGGCAAATAATAATAAAAAGACACACTATATTTCATGACTTACGTCCATTGTTTTGCCCTCTGTGTGTGTAGCTACTAGAAGTACTATTGCATCAGAACCACCGAAGGATTTAATGGAGTGGACCCAGTATCGTAAATAATCTATTAAAAAATGAAGGAAGTGGACTGTAATAAACCTTCAAAACATATTTAAACTAATGTATCCAAATAAATAAATTAAGGATAACGAATAAATTAAGGATAACAAATAGGGATTGGTCTCCAAAAATCTACAACAATTATTTAATTCTTTGACCAACGCGTAAAACCCTTAGAAATTGTAAAAGTGAAGTCAGCTGCCGAGGCGGAGTAATCATCTCTTGTTGACCAGTCCGACCCGCTATGACCCATATGAATTGGTTCTGTAGACAGAACATTTTGCAGGCATATTAAGTATAAAACAAAATCCGATTAGGATGAAAAACGTCAGCCAAAATATGGTCCTTTAACATGAAATGTAAAAACGTCATTATAACTATTACAGAATTTACGAAATGTTCGCCTTCAACAAAGTAAGTGAAATTGCTGTAACCTCAGCTTATCTGTCAGTTGAAATAACGCATGGTTCGCAGAGCATGCTCGTAAGCAGTGAACACATTGGGAAAAGTAAACACCATATGTAGATGATATCAAAGTCTAACTTCATGTACATAGATAAGAAATATTGACGATAGAAGAGAGCTGAAGTCATCTCCTTTGTCATACAACTTATATGTCAGTTGATCGTTATCGTCTAAAGTGAGTAAAACAGTCACATATGAAATAGATTTGTCAAACCCAGTGGTATCATCTATTGCATGTTCTTAATGATATATCATGTCGACATTTAAGTAAGTTCCGGGACCTCTATTTTAACCTCTGTTGCAAAACTGTACGTGTATTCGTATTCACTAGACGAACTGTCGTCGTTTTGTTTGATTGTATTATCCCTCTTTAGAGTTTTTTTTCACATTTGAGCTTGAGTTCTGTTCGTAATGTCCATTTATTTCAAGAAAACACCACCACTTGCCGATGAAGATCTGCAAATTTGGACCTTTGTCCAGCACAGATGGATCAACTCGTTGGTCCGAAACTCTATAGCAGTCGCTCTGACTATTGCGCAACGCTAGTAATTCTTTATTTGTGAACAGATTTTCACGAATTTGTTTGTAAGAAAAACGATGAGAACAACGATTTGAACTCCGATTGATCTTAAAAAAAAAACACCAAGCAAAATAATTAACAACAAATCTGTAAATAGGGCAGAAAACACGACCCCTTTGAATTTTTTTAGGTAAGTTCAGCTGCCTATAAGTGACAATAATCCTTTGTTGACTTGTCAAATTCGCCTTGAACCCTATATATTGATCAGGACGGCGGACTAATCTGAAGTCAAATTGTTTTACAAAATAAAGACCTGGGCATAAGTTTGAAGTATGTCAGTTACTACCAAATGAAGAATGCGATTGTATTTGCAAACAAGGTAATTATAATACCAATAATGTTTTTTTTTAAATGTTGATTGAAACGATGTTTTTTAAAAATCCTATGGCAAGTCAAAAGTTGCAGTCAATATTCGATCTTTTCCATATGTAATATAAAGTTTTCCATTTGTATTGTATAATTTCCATTTGTATTGTATAATTTTACATTTGTATTGTATAATTTTTATTTACTGACGTTTTTCATACCAATTATAGGTCCATTATTAATACACTGAATTGACAACGGAATTTTCCATTATTTCCTGATCATGACAAGAAGCACACGGCGGGTTTGACCGGTCGGCGGGGGATGCTCACTCCTCCATGGCACCTGATTCCACCTCTGAAGTTTCGGAGGTCCGTGTTTGCTGTGCTCTTTTGTATTGTTTTATGGTCTTTGAAATTAAATATTGTTCCTTAACTCCATATCTTTCCTTCATTCTATGATTTTCCATTAATATTGTATAATTTTTCATTTATATTCTATAATTTTCTATTTGTATTCTATAATTTTTCATTTGCATTATATATTTGCCGTTTGCATTGTATAACTTTTCATTTGCATTTTATAATTTTTTATCCTGCAACTACCCCTTGCTTTGACCTAATAATGGTAACCTAATAAACCAAAGCTTTATCCGGTCACTGCCCTAATAAAGCCTCGTGCATGTATTCCGACGTTCTAAAAGCATTGTGACGTCATGTATATTGCAATGTTTACGCCATGGCGTCATAGTTTCAACTGCAGAGATGTACCTAAATCGGTCGAAAATAGCTAGTTTTGGACGTTCAAAAGAATATGTTGCAGGATAAACATAATAAATGATAACTGTCTTGAAATATAAGCGATATTTGGGCGAGGGTAAGAAAACGTGATAGAGGGCGAGGCTTGCCATGTAACAGTAACCATGTATTTTAAATTTATTTGCATTGTATAATTTTTCATTTATATTGTAAAAAAAATCATTTGTATTGTATGATTTTTTATTTGTACATTTTCCATTTGTATTGTATAATTTTTCATTTGCATTGTATCCGATGGATTGTTTACTTTGGTTTATTTCGAAGGATTCCGTTAGTCTAATCATATATCGGATTGGTTATACCCGAGATATTTTGGGAAGTTAACTCGTGTTATCCAGTCTGAGCATTTAGTGAAATGAGCATTTTTTTCTCAGAAAAAAATGAGTTGAATTAATGGCCTATAGCGATATTAAAAAATGAAAAAGCATTTAGTTTAACCAAGCATATCCTTCTTAATATATAGTCGGGTACATGTAACCACGGGACGCATGTATTTGTTGCAGTAATAATTCTTTTGACCTATACTAGTATAGTACTTGTACTATGGGCTAACTTTTTTAATTGAAAGAAGAGTAGTGTCTGTGACACAGAATACTCAATATCATAACTCCCTCGATTGAACAAGCTTAAACATAACGTTCTTAATAATATTGTCCTACGGACCCGGTTGTTTTGAGAAGGTATGAGCATGAACAAACCAAAATAAACAATCCGTTGGATACAATGCAAATGAAAAATTATACAATATAAATGGAAAATATTGAATACAAATAAAACACAAGAGGCCCATGGGCTGCATAGCTCACCTAAGCATTGTGGCTAAGAAAGAAAAAAATCAATTCAGTAAATACCTTAGTGGTCCAAATTCTAAAAGGGGGTATGGTTTCAACAAACTTCTATCTATGCAAATTTGAATCTACACTTACTAAGAATTTTTACATATTTTTTGACTAACTGTGACTTATCCGTATAAGTTTGAACTTTATTGTGGTCCTAGACCCAACCCTGGGGGTCATGATTTTAACAAATCTGTATCTTAACTACCTGAGGATGCTTCCATATAAACAAGACCAATCATGAATTTGCTGTTCTTGAGTAGATTTTTCCTATATACTCCAGTGAAAAACTTTGAATGTCCATTGTGGCCCCGCCCTACCGCCAAGGGTCATGATTTGAACAATCTTGATTCTACACTACCTAAGAATGCTTCCATATAAATATGACCAATCATGACTTTGCTATTCTCCAGAAGACGATTTTTAAAGATTTTTTCCATATATTCCTATGTAAAACTTTGATCGTCTATTGTGGCCCCGCCCTACCCCGGGGGGTCATGATTTGAACAAATTATAATCTACACTACCTGGGGATGCTTCCATATAAAATATTACCAATCATGGCTTTGCTGTTCTCAAGAACATTTTGAAAGATTTTTTCCTATATATTCCTATGTAAAATTTTGATTGTTCATTATACTAGTATTTCCGTCCTACCTCCGGGGGTTATGATATGAACAAACTTGAATTTGCATTACCTGAGGATGCCTCCATATAAATATGAAAAATCATGGCTTTGCTTTTCTCAAGAAAAAGATTTTCAAAGGTTTTTCACTATATATTTCTATGTAAAACTTCCATAACGTCCATAATGGACCCGTCCTACACCCGGGGGTCATGATTTGAACAAACTTGAATCTAAACTACCTGAAGATGTTTCCACATAAGTTTCATCTTTGCTGGCTTAGTGGTTGTTGAGAACAAGATTTTTGAAAATTGCTATTAATTTTTCAGTAATTTTTAATTATCTCCCCTTGATTAAGGCGTGGCTCCTCATTTGTAAAAACTAGATTTCCCTTTACCTAAGGATACTTTATAGCAAGTTTTGTTGAAATTGGTCCAGAGGTTCTTGAAAAGAAGTTGAAAATATGAAAAGTTTACAGACGGACAGAGAGAGAGAGAGACGGACAGATGGACTATAGACAAAATGTGATCAGAAAAGCTCACTTGAGCCGTCGGCTCAGGTGAGTTAATTATACAATACAAATGATTTTTTACAATATAAATGAAAAATAATACAATGCAAAAGATTTTTTACAATATAAATGATTGGATATGGAGATAACGAACAGTATCCACTCTCAAAGTCCATAAAACAATACAAAATAGGAGCAGAGCAAACATGAATCTCAGAAACATCAGAGGTGGGATCAGGTGCCATGGAGGAGTGAGCGTCTCCTGCCAACCGGTCACACCCGCCGTGTGCTCCTTGTCATGATCAGGAAATAACGGAAAAAATCCGTCGTCAATTCAGTGTATTAATAATGGACTAACAATTGGTATGAAAAACGTCAGTCTGCATTTGACTCGATGAAAAATTGTATTTGCTGACAAGGTCATTGTATCGACCATGGATCATTCGAAATGACGACTTTAAACGAGACTGCTGATATTTTTGTTACATCAACTTGCTTGTCAATAATTTACCTCGTTTTAGAAATTGTTCTTACGTAGAGCATGCTCTTGCATGTCGAATCAACTGAGATATATACACTCTGTGTGAGGTGATGAAGGTTTACTACTGCATAAGTAATGGAGGTTGACGATAGAAACTTTTAAGTCGTCACGTCTATCATATAACTTGATTGTTAGATTACCATTGACAACAGATGTGTCAGAGCCTGTGGTATCTTTTATCTCAAGCTGTCCTGGATATATCGTATCGACATAGGAATGGAAATTACCATTGCTAATTGACAATAAGTAGTCGATATATCTGAAGGTCGAGTTGAATGCCACAGCAAGTGATAAAGATTTTGCATAAATTCTGCTTTATATGAATGCAAAAATAGGTCTGCTAGTAACGGAGCACAATTGGTTCGCATGGGAATTCCAATAGATTGTTGGAAGACCTGGTCCCAAAACCATAAACTGAAATCAGACTTAAGTCAAAATTTCCAATTGATATAACTTTGGAAATAATTTCGATAATAAAATAAAACTTTCAACAAATGTTTGAATTGAAGTATTTTACACAGTTGCAAACTTATAAGCTAATACATTGAATGGAACCGAAGATATTCAAAATCAAAATTTTGACTTAAGTCTATTCTCAGTTGATGGTCTTGGCGTCTGGTCTCCAAAAACCACATAGATATTGTCAATCAAAAACTCAAGCATCTTCTTGGTGTCAACTTCAGAGTACTTGTGTGTGCAATCAGAATCTTTTTTAACAAAATAATTTTGCAAATGACCAATGTTCCATTTTTATTCAAGAAGCAGTTGTCAGTGACATCAAAAAGCCTGGATTTTAATTTATCGTGGGGAATGGTTGTGTATAAAGTTTAAAAGTCGTCAGTTTTTAAGCTGTTGATTTTGGTAAAATCTTGTGATTTCAAATTGTCCAAAAGTTCTTTTGAATTTTTTAGTATTCACATCTAATTCACATCACTTCTTGATTATATAGTTGCACAGTACTCTTGAAGTTTTTCCTTCGTTTCTGTCAATATTTAAGTGAGGAGTAACGTAAGAGGCTTGGTTGAACATTTACTGAAATCTGCAATGTATCTTTGTTTGTAAGGATTCTTATGAAGTTTCGGAACCCAATATATACATAAGTAGTTCAAATTCATATTGGCTCTGTGGAATATTAAAAATATTAAAAATTGGCATATGGTTTTGAAGAATTTCTTCCTTAGAAAGGCTTGTATGAGTAAAAGTAGGATTACCACTTGTAGAATTAAATTAAAAGTTCTTCTAGAATACAATTTATATAACGAGCCTTACAAACAAAGACAATTTTGTTACTTGCTTTGTCGGCAGGGACCAGTACGTAATGATCATGTAATCTATCTAATTCTTTTTTCACTTCAGGTTTATTGAACACAGAAGGAAAGATGGTCTTCATATTTAATGATAAACATGCTAGCTTAAATATTTCCATTTTATAAGTAATTTATAAAAGGTATAGAAATAAACCCATATTAGCTATATAATATATGGGATTTATATCCCCCAGATAAATCGATTTGCAAAAACATATATATTCTGTGTTTGAACAATTTTTACAACGAGGCAAAAACAAGGATATAACAAGATGTGTTTGTGAAACACTATGCGCCCGGCAGCAACAAAGTTCGAAAAAAGCTATTTTAGCATATAGGTCACAGTCAAGGTCCCAAGGTCATTGACCTTGGTGTCATTTCAAAGAACTTGATTAGTAGAATATGCATACGAAATATGAAGTCTCTATCTTTTATGGTTCAAAAGTTATGGCGAAGGTTAAATTTTGCAGAAAAAACTATTTTTAGCATATAGGCCACAGTCAAGGTCACAAGGTCTTTGACCTTGGTGTCATTTGAAAGAGCTTAATTAGAGGAGTATGCATATCAAATATTAAATCTCTATCTTTCATGGTTCAAAAGTTATGGCGAAGGTTAAAGTTTGGGGACAAACAAACAGACAGACAGACAGACAGACAGGACAAAAACAATATACGCCTCGGATCTATCGATCCGGGCGCATAAAAAGTCTTCCTTGAAGTTCTGCAGTCGATACAATGATCTTATCAACCAATACATAATATGCATAAACATTAACTTAAATGCTGACTTTTTTCATACTAATTGTTTGGTCATTTTTGACACCCTGAAATTTGTAACGTTTTTTTTTCTTTTTACTCAATCATGACAAGGAGCACAAGACAAGTGTGACTGATCTATTGGGTGTGCGTATGTTTTTGCTTGCTCCGCTCACGCTTTGTATCGTATAAATGGACAATGGACTTTGAATTTGAAAACTTTTCGTTATCGATACCTACGATCATAAGTAAACAACATTAGAACATCAATACACCAGTATCGTTTGAGCTATATCTAACGCAAAAGTTTGTTAAGGTTAAAGTAATTGCCACTAAATTTAAAATACATATTAAATTTTAAAAAAAACAAGATGGGTTTGAGAAACACTATGCGCCCGGCTGCAACAAAGTTCGAAAAAAGATATTTCTGGCATATAGGCCACAGTCAAGGTCACAAGGCCATTTATCTTGGTACCATTTGAAAGAACTTGAATAGTGGAATATGCATACCAGATATGAATCTCTTATGGTTCAAAAGTTACGCTGAAGGTTCAAAAACACCATTTTAAGAGTATAGGTCACGGTAAAGGTCACAAGGTCTTTGATGTCATTTGAAAGAGCATCATTAGTGAAATATGCATATCTAATATGAAGTCTCTATCTGTTATGGTTCAAAACTTATGGCATAGGTTAAAATTTGCACACAAAACACTATTTTTAGCATATAGATCACAGTGAAGGTCACAAGGTCATTGAACTTGGTATGATTTGAAGGAGCATGATTAGTGGCGTAATCATACCAAATATGAAGTATCTATCTTTCATGGTTATAAAGTTATGGCGAAGGTTAAAGTTTGAAGACAAACAGATAAACAGACAAACATACAGCTAGACAGACAGACAGACAGACAGGACAAAAACAATATACGCCCCGGATCTATTGATCCGGGCACAAAACATATTCCGTCAGATTGTCAAAACAAACCTTTGTAAGTCCAAGTAGAGAAGACGGAACCTTTTCGCTCGTCTTTTTCACTGCTAACAATTTCCTCAAACCCTTTGGTCATATCTAACACTAAAGTATAGAAAGCCTCTGACCTCATGTAAATTTGATGGCATGCATAATAAGCAAATTGTCCGGCAAAATCTAACATGCTGACACTTGTTTCGTTTTCCTTTTCGTCCAATATGTCGTTTAGATCTATTGTAAATGGTTTGGTATTTGGTCGATCCTCTTTAGCATTGCTTGCATCGTTCTCAACATCCAATGAATTGAAATCTTCATCTTGTTTAAGATTCAATATTTCTTCTTTACTCTTGAGAGCGGACTTTGGAACACAAATCAATTGTTTGCCTTGATTCTGTTCTTTACTAGCTGAAAAAAAAGAATTTGCATTCTTACAAACATCATGTATATGAAGATATGAAATAATTCGGTATCAGTAAAACGTTACCTTGTATGGTTCCATCTTTTAATGTAAATACATATTCGTAGATTTGAAGTCCTCTTGTTGACGTTATTTCGTCTATTTCCTGAGGAGTTCTTCCCATTAGTCTGTAAAGGAGTGTTGTTTTACCAGCACCAGTGCATCCAACAAGCATCCCTCGTGCATGACGAACTGTTATTTTTCCATGGATCTTGTACTGCAACAGCCGTTTTGGTTCTATATCCATTTATAAATAAATAAAAACAAGATGCGTTTGTGAAACACTATGCACCCGGCGGCAACGAAATTCGGAAAAGGTATTTTTAGCATATAGGTTACAGTAGAGGTCACAAGGTCATTGAACTTTGTGTAATTTGAAAGAACGTAATAAGTGGAGTATGCATACCAAATATAAAGTCTTTATTTCTTATGATTCAGAAGCTATGGCAAAGGTTCCAAAAAGCTATATTAAGCATATAGGTCATCTTCTAGGTCAAACTGTCATTGACCTAAATGTCCTTTTGAAGAGCAAAATCAGTGGAGTATGCATACTAAATATGAAGTCTCTATCTACTTTGGTTCAAAAGGTATGGTGAAATTTCGAAAAATCTATTTTAGCATATAGGTCACCGGGTCATTGACTTTGATGTTAAAAAGCCTCATTTAATTGACGATGCATGCAAAAATATAAAGTCTCTATCTCTTACGATTCATAAATTTTGGCGAAGGTTAAAGTTGACAACAGACAGACAGAAAAATAGATAAACAGACAAGCCGACAAACACACAAACAAACAGACAGGACGGGAACAATGTACGTTCTGATCTATTGATCCACACGCAAAAAAATGTATATCAGGTGAAACATTTAATACCCATTTTCTGTAACCACTTAAACTTTTGTGGCTCGCTTAGTCACTGACTTTTATTTTTCAAATTTTGCTGGAAAGTACCACCTCATAAACTACTTCCAAAAATATTGTTAGATCATATGGATGTTGAGTAGCTACCATGGAAACGGTGTCTACAGGTTTTTTTTTCCTTAAAAAATGCAATATTTGTGATTTTTTTTTTTTTGAAATGTGGCTACTTCAATTGATATTACTCACAGATGTAAGAAATATGACATCTAATTCTTAAAGGCATTTTAAAACCTTGCTGGTATCCAGTCTATAGAAATGAGAAATTATGATTACAAGCAAATTCAAAGAATTGTGGTCCCCCGCTTTCGGTGTCTTTGTTGGTGAGATGTTATTTTTTATTATGACATATTGTGTCTAATATGAACATCCTATCATATGTCATTTCTTAGAAATTATCACTGAAGATGATTTTTTGAAGGATGAAAACCCTAATCCTGACCGTTAAAAAGTGATGGCCAAAGTTAACGTTTTTTTAAAAGTAGGTCAACTCCAAGGTCAAGATCAAAGGGTCAAAGTTGTTGATGAAAGGTTTTTTCACAAGGATTACATATATGTGAAGTATGAAAGCCCTAGCCCTTACCGTTCAAAAGTTGTGGCCAAGGATAAAGTTTTTTCGTAAGTACGTAAATCTTTAAGATCAAGGTCAAAAGGTCAAAGTTGTTGATATCCAATGAAAGGACTTGCCACAAAGAATACATATGTGAAATATCTACCGTTCAAAAGTTGTGACCAAAGTTAAAGTTTTAAGAAAAAAAATAGTTAAAACTCCAAGGTCAAGGTCAAAGGGTAAAAGTTCTTGGTATCCAATGAAAGGTCTTCTCAAAAGGATTACATATGTGAAGTACGAAAGCCTTAGCCCTCACCGTTCAAAAGTAATGGTCAAGGTTAAAGTTTTTTCATAAGTATGTAAATCTCCAAGGTCAAGGTCAAAACGTCAAGGTTGTTGGTATCCAATGTAATGTCTTGCAGCAAGAAATACATATGTGAAATATAAAAGTCCTAGTATCTACTGTTTAAAAGTTGTGACCAAGGTTAATGTTTTTAAAAAGTATTTAAAACTCCAAGGTCAAGGTCAAAGGGTAAAAGTTCTTGGTATCCAATGAAAGGTCTTTTCACAAGGATTACATATGTGAAGTACGAAAGCCTTAGTTCTCAACGTTCAAAAGTTATGATCAAGGTTAAAGTTTTTTCATAAGTACGTAAATCTCCAAGGTCAAGGTCAAGAGGTCAAGGTTGTTGGTATCCAATGAAAGGTCTTGCTACAAATAATACATATGTGAAATATGAAAGTCCTAGTACCTTCCATTAAAAAGTTATGGCCAAAGTAAAACTTTGGAATTTTTGTGTAAAAGTGGGTCAAACTCCAAGGTCAAGGTCAAAAGGTAAAATTTGGTGGTACCCAAAGAAAGGTCTTGTCACAAGGAATACACATGTGAAATATGAAAGTCGTAGCTCTACTAAATCAAAAGTTATGAGCAAGGTTAAGGTTTTTGTGACGGACAGACAGACAGACGAATGAGATTTAATGTCCCCTCGCTTTCGCGAAAGCGGGGGACAAAAATAGCAGACATTCAATTTAAAATTTAATCATCTCCCTTTGATATTTGTGAGCTTTTTAGTGCGAGAGATAAACAAATCATTGGACAAAACTGACTGGAAGTTGTTTACGCATTCATTATATTGTTAATATACAGCACTGTATAAGCTGGAATTCAAGTAAAATCAACTGTTCTTTTATACAAATTTTAACCTTTGTTTATTTCTAGCATGCATAATATGTTTTCTGGATGCAAAGATTAAGTGAAATGGTCACAAGACGACGAGCACGTTTTCTAACTATGTATTTTGTACATCGGAAATTACAAGTGGCGCCTTTCGCATGCTCAAACATAGTGTGTGTAAAAATCAATCAATCGAAGATCGATAACTCCTAAAACACAATTAACACGATACTGTAACATGCATAAAAATAATTTTGACTTGTGAAAAATTATGAATTGAACAAGACAACATGGCACATGAAATCAGCTCTGTGCATTCTCTTTCTTGATATTGAAGCATTAGCTTCAAGGTCTAATGAGCTTCAAAATGGGGATTAAAGATAACTTGAAAAATCAGAATTATATTGAATTATTTTTTAGGAAGTGTAGTGTCTCAGTCAGAGTGATAATATACTACAAGACTAGAATGGATACAGCTTTAGAAAACCAATCTATACTTATAAATTAATGCAATCTGCAAATAAACTCCGAAACGAGTGCACCAGAGTTCTTACTTACTCCTGTAATACTACACTCCATACAAGATGATGTCCATAAAATTATATTTTTTAGATTTCTCTCGGATAGTAATTATCCTACATAAAATTAAAGGTCTACTTAAATTTTCTGAAAACAGCCAGGAAACAGCATCAATGTGAGTATGGTGGCGTTTCCGGTTGGCGGATCTAAGATACTGGCAAATTTTAATGAAACTGACAACAAACAATCGATTATTTATTTCATAAAATGTCATCACTGAATTATTCAATCAAAACTTGATTTAAATGATATTAAAGAAATAAGTTGTGATAACCGATTAGAGAGAGGAAAGTGCAAATCAATTTTGTCTATCACCGATCTCAATATTGACGGAAGCTTCTAGAACATGTGAAATGTCCAGAGTTATCTCCCTTTTGCTACATCGTTTTAATCAAGAAATAATTGTAAATAATGTAATTAACGGGTTATTAAATTAAATAGGTTTACAACAAATGATGCTAGATAAATTATAATACAATTAAACAATAGTTTGAGAAAATTGAGCGAAGTACTTTGAAATTAGGCCAATCAAAATTTTTCTCTGTTAAGCGTCCACCCATATTTCAAGAACCTAGCTACCTATTCGCAAAAAAGCACACCAGTCAAAAACAAGAGGCCCAGGGGCCACATCACTCACATGAGCAATTGGCTAGAAAAAAAGCACATATCAGATCAGAACTGAAAGTTTACTGAGGGCGAGGGGGGAGGGGGCTTGAATTTTAAACCCCCAGGGGGTCATGATTTAATCAAACTAGAATCTAAACTACCTGAGGATGATTCCCTATAAATATCACTAAGCATGGCTTTGGTATACTTGAAAAGAAGATTTTAAAAGTATTTCGTATATATTCCCATGTAAAACTTTTATCGGCCGTTTGGCCCCACCCTACCTCCGGGGGTCATGATTTGAACGAACTTGAATCTACACTACCTGAGGATGATTCCACATGAGTTTCATCTTTCCTGGCCTAGTGGTTCTTGAGAAGAAGATTTTTAAAGATTTTTCCTATATATTTCAAGGTTAAAGTTTGATTGGCGATTTTAGCCCCATCCTATCCCCGTGGGTCATGATTTAATCAAACTAGAATCTAAACTACCTGAGGATGATTCTACATGAGTTTCAACTTTCCTGGCCCAGTGGTTCTTTTTTTTTCCTATATATTCCAATGTTAAACTTTGATCGGCCATTTTGGTCCCACCCTACCCCCAGGGGTCATGATTTGAACAAACTTGAATCTACACTACCTGAAGATGATTCCATACGAGTTTCATCTTTCCTGGCCCAGTGGTTCTTGAGAAGAAAATGATAAAGATCTTTCCTATATATTCCTATGTAAAACTTTGATCGGCCATTTTGGCCCCACCCTACCCCCCGGGGTTATGATTTGAACAAATTTGAATCTACACTATCTGAGGATGATTCCACATGAGTTTCATCTTTCCTGACCCAGTGGTTCTTTAGAAGAAGATTTTTTAAAAATGCCATTCATTTTTCTCTAATTCATAATTATCTCCCCTTTGAAAAGTTCATGGCCCTTCATTTGAACAAACTTGAATCCCCCTCACCAAAGGATACTTTGTAGCAAGTTTGGTTGAAATTGGCCCAGTGGTTCTTGAGAAGAAGATAAAAATGTGAAAAGTTTACAACGACGACAACGACGACAACGACGACGACGACAACGACAACGACAACGACAGATTGTATAGTAGAGAAATATTTTTTTAACAATTAAGATGGGGAGTGCCTATGGTCCCAATTTATTTTAGCACATGTTTCACACCTCGAACAAAGGCTTTTTGCTGCTACCAAATCACATGGTACACCCCAAGCCTAAGCTTCATGGTTGGGTGACTCTGTCATTGTGTGCATAATTATTGAACCAATCATTACCAATGATAGGTTACAATTATGGAAACAGGGCAAGGTCACCAGACAATGAATAATGGACCTGATGTGCTACACAGTCAAAAAATATACACAGTTACATAAATTATTACAGGAACAGAGATC